GACTTGAGAGAAAGTCAATTTTACACTGACTGAGAGAAGGGAAGAATAATTCATTTACACATCAATCTTTTTTTTTTTTGTCAACAATTTTTCCATTCATCTAAAAGATCAAAGGACAAATGGAGGAAATTAATCATCCTCCACCATTACTACAACATAATTGAATTGCAATAAAATAAAAAGCAGATAGATCATCGCAGAAGATGATAGACAGCAGATCCAAAGCATGTTTCGGATGCGTCAAGAGGGTCCTCGCAGCAGAGCCGGAAATTCTCAGGTTAGTCACTTTACCAAGTGACTTTGAAGTTCCCGGCATAACGCACGGGGATTCGACCACTCTCCATGAGAGGGAAGAAAATACGACCATGCTCAAAGGGATGGAAGATTGTGGAATTGAACTCGTCCACCGAGAGTACATTACAGGATTTGAGAATCCAGAAAACTTTGATCTTCTCTCTATAGAGAAGATATCGAGCTCGCAAATACCTGGATTTGAGCATCCAGAAAACTTTGGCCCTCTCATACGTGGAGATATGACTCTCGACTCTTGATGGAATGAAGCACAGTGAAGGCGAATTGGTCTCTNCAGGCTCGATTTGGANGACANANATTTTAACGAGNTCNNTAACAAATTNCCTAAATCGGNANTAATGGCAGTACTACTATGCATAGATAAATCATGAAGCTTGCCAAGGAGGAAATAGGTTTTACTGCCCTCAAAAATTACAAACTCTGCCATGTATCGATGTGAAGTACTCGTGGTCTGTGTATTGAATGAGGACAATAAAACCACACATTTGGATTATTAGAGAGTAACTGGGCCTGGCCCATCACGTGAGATTGTTTGGATAGGGCTCGACATGGGCTTCTGAGGAGATTTCGCCGGCCCACCATAACTAACCCATCATGTGTAAAGCCCACTGGGCCCAATAACACAGAGGCGGCGTCGGGTGGGGCATCAGACTTAGCGGCTCGAGATTTCCACAACTCCGGAGAAGCGACAATGAAGTACGGTGACAGGGTCTTCAGAGCAATATATGAAGCCGGAGACAGGTACCTCGGCGGCGGATCCGGCGGGATTGGTGGATCTGGAGGTTCCCTCGGGTTTGGGAATTCCAGCTTAGCCGGCAAGACCAACCTCCGGTCACGAATCCCGGTTAGCTCCCTAGCAGTTGGTGCCGGAAGGGATAAGAGAACTACTAACCTTGTTACAGTTCTACAAACCACGGAACAGTTCGTAGGGGCCGAGTGACGAGACACGACGACAACAACATCTCCGGCAGAGGGAGGTGAGGAACCGCCAGTCTTCTGGAGCGCTTCCTGCCGTCTAATAGAAGGAGGAGCGGAATTACGAGAAGATTGGTGGATCTGGACGGCGGAGCATCGGCGAATGTGAAGCATCGGTTGTTGTCGGCGGCTCCTCGGGGAATGTGCCCGAGAGAGAGTAGGGCGAACTGGTTTTAGCTCGGTATTAACCTGATATATTTTTACACATCAATCCATACAAGAGATTTTGAGAGGAAACCCAACTCATCAATGGTTGGAGTTTTTGATTAGTTAAAATTAGAAGTCATTAATGGTAGATTTCCTATGCAATTATACCCATAACTTATCACGACCCACATGCTCCTCCACATTTCATTAATATACAATTGTTTTCCCTTAAGCTAATGTTACTTTTGGAGAGTTGATACATGAATTATTTGTTGATAAAAGAGAATAAGCTATTTTTAATTTTTAAGAAATATTTTTATACCCTTTAAAAAGGGAGAAGCTTGTGGAA